TGGCCATTAGAAATGAGTTAACTAATTAAATTCTCTCATCGGTACTAATATAATCCTCCATGGCTCACTAATCGATTTAACGAAAATTAGGATGTCACACTAGCAATGGTCAGCCGATGACCTCACCAGCCTAGAGTTGTAAAAAAAAAATCAAAGAAAGAAAAGAAAAGATTAAAAAATAATTAAAAATTCGATTTATTTTAAAAATATATATCAAAATTTGTCTGTGTCAACGCCGGTTGTACCACGTAGGACGGCCGACATCCATCTCAACGATTTTTGACCAAAATTAGTCAAGTGAACTACATTTGCATTGTCATAAGATTTAGGACTCAATGGGTACAATTAAAAGATTTATGACTGAATTAGTATTGTTGCGACCTACCCCTCAAGGGTCACTTCGGGAAGTAGATTTAGAGGTACTTTACGGGACACTCCCTAAGTCCATACCTCGCGTCATGTTGGTTGTCTAAATTTACGTGTTCAATTTAGAGTCGCCACTAACCACGTTTAAGGATCGGCTAGAAACCCTAATCAAGATGCGGGAGTGTTATCTCTAAAACATATACAACCAAAGATTCTTAGGTATTGGGGACTTGATTACACTAGTTTTTTCAACTGATGCCATTTCGGTACCTAAACTTGACTATTTGTTAACTAACATGTCAGGACAGGTTTTTTACTAATTGAGAATTTTAAATTTCATCATAACCATTCTAAAAAGAACAATAAACAATGTATTTAAAGCGCGCAATCAAATGAAATCAAAATGAAACTCCACAAACAACGACCTAGCATCGTCTCTAAAAGAAAAAGGCAATAAAAAATCTCTAAGGTAAAGCCCAAAAGGCTTATTCAATTTTGGGATCAAATTTTTCTTAAGCCTAAAGTGTTTATTAAAAGCCCTAAGCTAAGAGAATTCTACATTTTTTGGCTTTTTCCACATTTTTTATTTTTCTGAATATTCTGAAATTTTTTTATTTTTATTTTGGGAAAATGGATTTCGGACCGGGTCAGGAGAACCCGGTCCGATTCGCTGGTCTGACCCGGACCCAGATGGTCCGGGTTGGGTCAACTCGGGCAGGTTCTTGGGCCTGGTCTGAATAAAGCCCAAATTCTCAGATTTCAATTTTTGTATTCATTTAAGCCCAATTCAAGTTTGGCCCAATCTTTTCATTATTCAAGCCCTAGCCGATTTACACGGTCCGGATTCCAATCCACTGCTCCTCCGCTCCGACCCAAAATAGAACCCGACCCGGTCTCTATTATATCCGATTTTTTTATTATTATTTTTTTCTGATTTTCTTTTTCGTTTTTTTATTCCCTTTTTCTGGTTTTCTTTCACCGATGGCCTTCTTCTTCACGCCGTCACCTTCACCGAGAACATCTTTTTCCCTAATATTCATCATCTTCAAACGTTCCCGCCGAAACTTCCACCTTAACATTTACCATCCAACGTTGACAGTCACCCCTGTCAAACATCTATTCTCGCCACCATCCGTCATGTTCATTACCGAACCACCATTTACTCCAGCCACGAAAATAAACTCCGGCAACCAAATTACATTTTACGGCCAACAAACTTCCGGCCACAAGAACAAATCCTAAATCTAAACAAACAAGCAATACACATACATGAAACAGAGACAAAAAACTAATGGTAGCGGCCTCAAACCGTGGGCACATCTCCGGCGAGGGGAATGAATCCGGCAAAAATTTCAACAATGGCCGACTTGAAGAAACATTAATATGCCACAAAAATCACAAAGAAACATAGAGTAGCGGGCGAATAATCATTTTAGAACAAATAAAGCATGAGCTGTGATTCAAACAAACGTTTTTCATTCACGGATTGATTCAACACTTCATTCATGCATTTCATCAAACAACTAGCATGCAGTTTAAGAAGTATATTCTAGCATGAGATTCAATGCAATTCTTTGCTCGATTGTGATGTACAAAGACCTGAATCAACATATTCAGTTCGTCGTAACTCACTCAAAATGTTCACAATCAAATTCGTTGTTCTAAGCCTCCAACATCTCATCCAGGCATTTCAGCGAACAGTTGATGTACGATTTAAAACATGAATTCTAGACTCGGTTTCAGTGCAATTCTCGACTCAACGTTGATATATCACACTCCAAATCATCATTATATGACTCAGCTTTAATGTCATACAATTTGTCCATAATCTCATCAATTCATTCTAGTACTCTCAAACTCAGTAAACGGCTAAAAAAAACAGGATAGAACAAAGCATATTTGAGGAGCTCACCTGGACAAAAACGGAGATTCAATCGGTGATGGCAAGGGACGTCCGGCTATGCTTCCTCTTTCTCGACGAATGAACTGCGATTCTGACATGATTTTGGATGAAAAGTGATGAAATCAGCTTCGGAAAATTGGACTTCGGCAAGTGATTTGAATCTCCATTAACCTGCAGTGACGATGAATGGAAGAGGAAAGGGAAGAGATTTGTCCGGCACCTTTTTCCGATCAAAAAGCGCCTGAACGCTCTCCTTTCATACCTTTTCCTGCCTTCTATTTCTTTTCGATCTTTTCTCCAAAACTCCGTATCACTCTCTTCGAGAAACTAATTCTCTTAGCCTTCTCCAGCTCAGCTTCTTCTAGAAGCTCCCTTGGATTCGCTCACCTCACCCAGGGTGAGACACGGTCATGCTCCCTATTCTTTTGTTAACAGACCCTGAGTTAGAGGGAAATAGCCAAAATTTTTCTTTTTCTTTTTGTTTACAACGTGAGAAGCTAAAAGAGAAAGTCATGGGCCTATTATTCTCGAGCCAAAAAATTCATTGATTCAGGCCTTTTTGTTCTTTTCTCTTCATGGGCTCAAGTATAGTGGGGTATGGTCTTGCCAGGCCAAATTGTGGGCCTATTGAGCTAATTAGGGACTCTCAACATTGGGCTTGGGAATTGAAGGCCGGACTAGGCCTTTTTTTTATTCATCTTTGATTTATTTATTATTGCTATCAATTTTTTTTTCTTTTTTTATGATTTGCAAAAACTGGACGCTTGGTTGGTTAGCGAAAATTCTGGTGTCAACAGGTATAAATTCAATAGGTTTATGACTCTTTTTTGATATTTTTCCTCTCGAACTTGAATATGACATTGTTTGAGCTTATTTCCATTTGATTATAAATGAACAAATGCTTGGAGCTGAGTGTATATCTATAAACATATCTTTAATCAAAAATACCTTCATCCGATAATTTTTTATTTACCCTCATCGTCTTTCATTTTGGACTTTACTTTTGGCATTGTGTTAGATGTTCCTTGAATGCCGTGCTCAAACTTGAATATGACATTGTTCGGCCCTATTTCATTTTATCATAAGTGAACAAATGCTTGGAGCTAAGTGAATATCTATAAACATATCTTTAATCTGAAGTACCTTTGTCCGATAATTTAGTCTTTACCCTCATCGTCTTTCATTCCGGACATTACTTTTGGCATTATGTTGGATTTTCCTCAGATGCCTTACTCAAACTTGAATATGACGTTGTTTGGGCCTATTTCCATTTGATCATAAATGAATAAATGCTTGGAGCTGAGTGAATATCTACAAACATATCTTTAATCTGAAGTACCTTCATCCGATAATTTATTCTTTACCCTCATCGTCTTTCATTCCGGACTTTACTTTTGTCATTATGTTAGATTTTTCTTAGACACCTTACTCAAACTTGAATATGACATTGTTCGTGCCTATTTCCATTTGATTATAAGTGAACAAATGCTTGGACCTGAGTGAATAACTCCAGGTGACCAAGAGAAAACCCAACTCCTCCTCTCTCTAGAACTAACTACAAAATTTTCATCAACTTCTCCCTCTCTTTCTTAGAGAAACAAAAAACCAATCATAGATGGAGGAAGGGATGAACGGTTCTAGGTTCCTTACAGGTTTAACTTGAAACCTGGAACCTACTCTTGGGTACAAGTTCCTCATTTTTTGGAACCTGGAACTTAGAATCTACCTGTCACTGGTTCCAAGGTCCAACAAGTTCTTTTTTGTTTCATTTTTAGTTAAACAAAACGAAAATGAACGCAATATTACCGAACAAGCTTATCATTCACCAAAGAGAATACAAAATATTAATTTTCCTAGCATTACAGTTCAAATAAATACAATTAAAATCAGAAGTCATTGCGTGAATCGATGCGCAATAGAATTCACGAGGGATTAGCATGTCGATCAAGACAATATCCATATCCAAGACCACAAACAAAATGGGAAGCACGAAAAAGGAAAGAGAGATGAGCTTTTGGTCCTCAAACATCCATGAAAATTTGTTCCAAATTCTGACCATTTAAAATCAAAAGAAACAATAATCATAGTTGATAACTTAACAATAGTTTTAAATTTAAAATTGAAGTGTCACGAATCGATTATTTGTAACTGCAACTACAACTTTTTCTTTTCTCCTTCCACCATCCATTATCACTATGGTTCTAACGATGCAACCATCAAGCTTAAGATATTTCTTGAAAGAGTGAATGACGAAAGCAATCGATCTCGCTAAAGAACAAAAACTTGGCATAGATACATGACAATGAATACCCACACATAACAAGTTATGCAAAGCAATGTGCATGCAAATAATGGGTACTCCAAAATCATAATAAATCAAAGGTCTAAACAAACCTTAGGAAATGTTCTACATGACAAGTTAAGCAAAGCAATGAGCATGCGGACGGAGATAAGAATTTGAGAGCTAAGAAGTGAGAAGTAGTAAAAAAATTAGGGATTTTAGATTTAGGGTTCCCGGTTCCCGAACCGGAACAGCGGTTCCTAAATAAATGGAACCGGAAACTAGAACCTCCCTACCTAGAACTGAGAACCAAATCGGACCCATCGGTCTGGTTCCCGGTTCTATCTTTAACCTGTGCTCACCCCTAGATGGAGGCGCCTCATGCGGAATTCTTGAGGCATATTTGGAAATTGTGGGGTCTAAGAGCCACGGTGCTATTCACACTTCCGGTCCAAATCGTACTCATCCTCTTCGGCCACAAGAGGAAGTCCAGCCCCCAGTCTCAAGCTGAGGATCGCCGTCTAGTCCGCGTACTTGATCGCGGACTCCTTGGCCATCGTCGCCATTGGCATCCTCTCCAACACTCTTAGAGAAGTGTACGAGAGAATGACGGTGGCCTCGATGACAATGACAAGTTGCTCGCATTCTGGGCCCAAATGCTTCTGCTTCTCTTGGGTGGCCCTGACACAATCACGTCCTATTCTCTGGAGGACAATGAACTCTGGCTCAGGCACTGCCTTCGCCTAGCGGTTCAAACATCAGCCACGACATATATCATCTTCATGGCCTGGACAAGCTCTTATCTCTCGTACCACAAGTCAGTGATAGCATTGGTGGGGATCGTCAAGTATGGGGAGAGGGTGTGCGCTCTTTGGATGGCGAGCAATGACAAGCTCAAGCAGTCAATGCTCGCCCCACCTGATTCGAGTTTGAATTACCCCCGCTTCCCAGAGTACACTTTAAAGAAGGCCGAGGGGTACATCATTGTGGTGGACACGTTGATTGAGATCGAAGAGCCAGAAGGTATTCCATCCACAATGATCGATCCTAAGGAAATTGTGAAAGCCTATGACCTGCTTCAGATATTCAAGTGCCTCTTTGTTGAGTGGACGTTCAGCTATGGCGAGAGGAACATTAGTAGGTCCATATTCAAGGATATCCATTTTAAAGACGCTTTTAGGATTGTTGAGATCGAGCTCGGGTTCCTCTATGATTTGCTCCACACGAAGGCCACGGTGCTTTACACCAAGTGGGGACTCCTCCGCTCGTTCACTTTCTCATCCACTCTGTTGGTGCTGGTGCTCTTCTCTTTGGCCAAGAAGTCACACCTGTCGAGATCCGATCTTTCCATCTTACTTGTTGCTCGCTTTCATTGTCTTCTTTGAGGCCTATTCGATTTTCATGCTGGTTTGCTCTGATTGGAGCAACGTTTGGTTGTGCAAGGGCAACAAGTGCTGTGCCTTGAGACATGGCTTGGTATGTGTCTTGAACTTCATAAGATCGACTGGACGACCTAGGTGGTCACACTCAATTGCCCAATTGATGTAGAACAAATATCAAATGTTTATATGAAAGCCTCCGAGCATCATAAAAGCGAGCGCTCCCGCCCTCGCCTTATGACGGGTTAATTTCAAAAGATCATAACTTTTGATCCGGAGGAGTTATAACGCGAACAGCATATCTATTTACACCAAAAAGTGAAAAAAAAAAATCATGAAAATAGGCATCGGGAGCTTTGGCGTCATAGTTCGCAACTTATCGATAGTGGGTGAGCAGAGGATTGGCATCGGCAACTTACCGATAGTTTGGTGTCAATAACAAAACTGCTTATGGATAAGGGTGGTTATTTGAACGTGGAGAGTGCCTAGAAAATAGGAAGATAATAACCACCGTTAGGAAGTTACTTTTTATTTAAAATTTAAAAGTTGTAAACGCTTGTACGAGATTATAAATATCCCAAGTTTGTATTTTGAAAAGGCCTCCCCCCCAACAACAGAACTCACGTTCTTTATCAGTTTATTTTTCTTTTATCTTTGCATTTCCTGCACTCGTACCTTTACATTTGGCCAAGGCCATTATTTTCCTGCAATTTACAAGCTTTAATTCTTTAGGAGTAGTTTTAATGCTCAGATTCACGTCGCCGAGTCGTCCTCCGATATGAATCTTCATCCTTGGTGCTTCGTCGTCGAGTCAAATCCCGGCGTAGTACCGCCGCTCTTTCAAGCTTTGTCCTCGAGTCAAATTCCGCCGAAGTTTGTTTCGATAGTACTTCCTAAACTTTTCCGTCGAGTCAAACTCCGGTTTGGTTTAGGTTTGTACAATTCCACGTTGATTTTTATGATCGCTTGGATATTTCCTGTCAAATCACTACAGAACCCGTCCTTCAATTAAAAGCCGAAGATCCATTTTCGATGTTTGTTTCCTTACGGATTAAATTACGGAGAAACAAATTGGCACGCCCGGTGGGACAAATGTGGCTGATTCGAGGAAATATGAAGGTACGTACTCAACTTAATCCTGACCATCCTAGTGGTGTTCTGGGTTATCATCTGCATAGTTGGTGGGACAAGTAACGAGAAGGAGGTGTCAACATCCCGAAGTAATTACCGATGAGCAGAGAAAACAGTTGGAGACGAAAATTCGATCGTAATGGCTTCTATAAGGAGGATACAGAATTGGCCCAACCAACAAATGAGACTCCACAAATTGCAGCAGCAGATGATGTTGAGTCAAGTTCTACACCTTCTATGTTCGTGAATTCAAAACCGATGCAAAAGGATCATGGGGCAAGATGGTCAACGACTTGTATGCTCTTCAAATGACAAAATATGAGGATTCGGCTTTTGTCAAGTAGCAGAAAAGTTACCGATGCCAGGGGGCAGATTCAGCTTCTATCAAGTAGCAGAAGAGTTATGGGGCACCTAAAGGCCATTAGTTAAAAGAATCGAATGATTGGTAAATCATTCAATTCTTTTAAGGGGGCATCTGTTTACACCAAAAAGTGAAAAAAAAATCATGGAAATAGGCATCGGGAGCTTTGGCGTCAGTAACTTACCGATAGTTCGCAACTTACCGATAGTGGGTGAGCAGAGGATTGGCATAAGTAACTTACCGATAGTTAGGTGTCAATAACAAAATTGCTTATGGATAAGGGTGGTTATTTGAACGTGGAGAGTGCCTAGAAAATAGGAAGATAATAACTATCGTTAGGAAGTTACTTTTTATTTAAAATTTAAAAGTTGTAAACGCTTGTACGAGATTATAAATATCCTAAGTTTGTATTTTGAAAAGGCCTCCCCTCTCAACAACAGAACTCATGTTCTTTATCAGTTTATCTTTCTTTTATCTTTACATTTCCTGCACTCGTACCTTTACATTTGGCCAAGGCCATTATTTTCCTGCAATTTACAAGCTTTAATTCTTTAGGAGTAGTTCTAATGCTCAGATTCACATCGCCGAGTCGTCCTCCGATATGAATCTTCATCCTTGGTGCTTCGTCGTCGAGTCAAATCCCAGCGTAGTACCGCCGCTCTTTCAAGCTTCGTCCTCGAGTCAAATTCCGTCGAAGTTTGTTTCGATAGTACTTCCTAAACTTTTCCGTCGAGTCAAACTCCGGTTTGGTTTAGGTTTATACAATTCCACGTTGATTTTTATGATCGCTTGGATATTTCTTGTCAAATCACCACAGAACCCGTCCTTCAATTAAAAGCCGAAGATCCATTTTCGGTGTTTGTTTCCTTACGGATTAAATTACAGAGAAACAATATCAAATCAAAATCCTTGAATTCCGATCATTCAAAGATAATCCTTGATTTCCAGGCCTTCAAAGATTTCGGATGTGATTTATAGATTTCGGAATGCGTTTTGAAGACTTTCCCTTTTATCAATAATTCCTTCAAAGATTTTGGACGTGATTTGCAGATTTCGAAATGCGTTTTCAAGACTTTCCCCTTTATCAATATTGTTTTCCTTAATTATGTTTTTTGATTTTGAATATTTGGTTGTTCCCCAAAAGGCGATCTCCCTATAAATAGGCGCCTAAGATATTATAAAATAAACGTTATCTTTTGGAAGTATTTTCCAAGTCTATCTTCCTCTGCGTCACCAATTCAGCTTGCTGAGCTTTTGCACTAAAGAGAGGCCCTTGGTTTACCATAACGTGCTTGAGTTCTTGAGGATCAATGAGAAGCTAGAAAAGTATCACTACACCCTCCATGACGACGTGTCCGACGAGTTTAGGGATTGGATATTCGGTCATATCAAGGAAGAACTTGTCAACGTGGAGGAGCAACTCGCGCCGGTCCCTATGGATATTCACAAATCTCTTACTAACCTACTCAAGGGTCATGGCCTCACTCAGGCTACGTGGGCCGTCAAGGGGAAATTCAACCAGGTTGTCCTAACTTGGCATATTGTTACCGAAATATTGTACTAGTCGAACTCGGAACAATCCGAACTCCCTTATTCTCAGGTGAGCAAGCTTCTCTCCAGGTATATGTTTTATCTTCTGGTCATGTACCCTTCTATGCTGCCCGGTGTAATAAGAGAAATAAGGCTCCGTGACACTTTCGCCAATGCCTTAAAGTTCTTCGAGGATCACCAATTACCCAATAATCGAGAGCCCTATCTCATGTGAGCTTCCGAAATACCGCTAGGCGAGAGAACAGAGGTTCAGCCAAGTATGTGAGGGACGCATGCTGGACCTTGGCACAGATGAGAGAGACAGAAAGAGAAATAAGGTGGGACATAATCGGGGAGCTCTGGGTGAAGATATTGATGTACGCCGCGAGCCAATGCAGAGGTGATCGCCATGCTGGGCAGCTGAGGCGAGGGGGAGAGCTTCTGACTCATGTTTGGTTCATGATGGCTCATTTCGGCCTGACTGATCATTTCGAGATGACTCAAGGCGAGGTCTTTGTAAAGGTCATACCGAGATAGGCCTTGATTCCCACTAATGACAAATCCTTATTCGGGTTTGGTCGATCTCGATCACTATTAAATGGAGCCTTGCAGATAAAACAACACAGATTCAAGCTTACGTACGTACACTTTCATCTCGTAAAGTTGACCTGGTCAGTCAATGTAACATGATATTTATTTGGTGGTTGATGTGTGAGCTGATTTAGTTGCTGATGTAAGTTTTTGGAAAGGACTCGAGCATCGTTATGCCTTCTTTTGGTGACATTCTCTAAGAAGCTTTTATCCATACTGGTGCTCGAAATGTAAGTATCTCTGCTCGTCAGTGCTATCCATATAACTACTAGGCCAATTTACAATCTAAATGAAATGGCAAAGAGTAACATTACATCAATTAAAAATTATTTGCAAAATTGATATATTAAGTCGTGCTACGTTCCATGTCATCTTTTAAACAGGCGGGCTCCCTTCAATATCTAAAAGCAATGGATGAGGTTTTATGCTCTGCCGCTAAGAAGACATGTTGCGTTTACTCACATATTCACGAACAACTTACGAATAAATCTAACCCAAAAAAAGTACCCTCACCTTATCCCCACCCGTCTCCCCACCCTCTGCCGCCCAACCCTTGACCTGCAAGGGTCTCCTTGCCGCCTCCACCCACCGTGTCGCCGCTGCCACCTACACCCACTGAGTCGCCAACCCCAACTTGTTGCCAATTGCTATACATTGATTGAGGATGGCCTTGGGATCTCGGTGCTCGAGTTCGAGTCCTTGACACCCGTGCCTAGGTCCATCGTGGTCAGGATAGAGACCCCAGAGCCCATGCCCTAGTTCCTGCGCCCAGGTCCATCAAGGCCAAGCTAGGGTCTAGGTCCATCAAGGCTAGACTCGGAACCTTGGTGCTCATTCCAGGTTTTCCGGCTACCTATGTGTAAGTTGTTAGCACCCATTACAGATGATGGAAAATATTTTCCAGTTCATTTTCAGTTTCAGTCATATATCGGAAAACATTGTCATTATCCTGAAAAATAACTTCCTAAAAAGTATTTTCCAGAAATGTTATATTTTCCGCTAAACAAACAGAGCAGTAAAGTAAATCGAAGAAAGATTTCAACCATAGTCTTTTTTCAAGAATTTCCATACAAGCCCATGCAAATTTGGTTATGTTGACAAAGGAGATACTAGCGATAATGGCAAATTTCATAACTCCTTTGGTTCAATGCGAATTGAATTACTCGAGGAACGAACTCTTTCATTTTTCATGTTTGGAAAGGAATCTAAATGTGGATTTGGAGTCCCTTTGGTATAAAACTCCTCAAAAACTGCGGAATTCAATTACCTTACAATTGATAATATTGAAATTCCTGTAGACCTCTTAATTTTGGCTCAACGCATTTCAAGTTTGACCGACTTGTCCAGAGGTCATATTTTGTTGAAAACCCGGTCAAATAGTGTTTTTTTTTAATCAAGAATATATATTTTTCTTTTATTTTCCTTTAGTAAAATTTTTTTATCATTGTGCTCATGACCAGAGATCTAAGATATTATTGTGCTAGAAGTTAAGAACGGTCGATTCTAGTTTTCTTATTGAAGTCTGACGGGCTTAGCTGCTCTTTGTCAACCCATTTCCTTTGGGGCCAAGAATCAATCCTATTGGCTGTCTAAAGAAAGGAGAGTGGCTGATCGAACACAATCAATGCTTATAAAAAGCCCTCTCCGAAACTGTGTAGCAGTCTCACTGGTTTAAGAAATAGTTACAATTTTATCAAGTCATTTAGAAAAGATTAGTAAGGGATCGTCATATCCTTATAGCACTAAAAATATGATGACGAAACGATCAAATGAATGAAGAATCGATGAAATGCCAGCCCAAACCAATGAGAAGCTATTCCACACATAGTCTATAGATCATCATGATGTGGATCAATATCATCTTAACAATTAATTATAAATCGGTCTCACCCTTGGCCCTACGTTGTTAATGAATAAAATGAGTTTAGTCTATCTGATCGGCTATAAAATATTTTTTTCTAAACCAAACTATAATATTCATTCGAATGCGACATCATGTTTTAGAGCAGGTATCCCATGAATCTAGTACACATACCAAACTGAATATGAACGTCCAGATATGATCGACCCATCATCTTCAACGTTCCAGATCCAAATTTTTATAGACATGGCACTCGTATCAAAATTTCTCCACGTTTCAAGCAATATTGGGCCAATGTAATTTTTAAGTGATGGTGTCAGCCATTCCTTCACGCATCAAATAATATAATGATTAATTACTATATTTGATAACACCTCTATCTCAGAGAGCTTCAACGCCGTTCCAGCAACACCAACAACCCAAGCAATGAAGGAAGCAATCGTGCTGTATCCGTCACCGGCCATCGGCCACCTCATCTCCATGGTGGAGCTCGGCAAGCTCCTCCTCACCCACCGCCCTTCCCTCTCCATCCACATCCTCATCACCAACCAAGCTTACGACGCCGGCTCTACCACTGCCTACATCGCCTCTGTCTCCGGCACTCTCCCCTCAATTGCCTTCCACTACTTCCCTACCACCACCCTCCCCCCGGACTACTCCACGACCTCCCCGCACCATGAGACCCTCGCCCTCGAGCTCCTCCGCCTCAACAACCCCAACGTCCGCCGCGCCCTCACCACTATCTCCGAAAATTATGTCGTTCGCGGCCTCATCATCGACTTCTTCTGCGTCGCTGCCATCACCATCGCACACGAGCTCAACATCCCGTGCTACTACTTCGTCACTTCCGGCGCTGGCTACCTCAACTTCTTCCTTTACGTCCCAACTCTTCACGACAAGTTTGCCAAAAGCTTTAAAGACTTTGACGCCCCCATAGATGTCCCTGGCACACCGCCGCTACCGCCCTCCGATGTTGCAAAGCCGATGCAGGATCGCTATGATGAGGCCTACAAGGGCTTCTTGGATTCGTCCCTGAAGATGCAGACTTCGGCTGGAATCATAGTCGACACCTTTGAGAAGCTTGAGCTGAGAGCGATACGAGCCATCATGGACGGCGAGTGTGTGCCCGGCGGGCCCACTCCGCCGCTTTACTGCATCGGGCCGCTGATCTCAAGCAGGGAAGGTGACGACGGTGGATCGCCGGAGTGTCTGACGTGGCTAGACTTGCAGCCGAGAGGGAGCGTTGTGTTCCTGTGTTTCGGTAGCTTGGGCGTGTTCTCCGTGGAACAGCTGAAGGAAATAGCGACGGGGCTGGAGAGGAGCGGTCAACGGTTCTTGTGGGTGGTCCGTAACCCAATAAAGACCATGCCGGGGATACCCGACCCGGACTTGGGCTCGCTGCTTCCGGACGGATTCTTGGAACGTACCAAAGAGAGGGGGCTCGTAATCAACAAATGGGCCCCGCAGGTGGCGGTACTGAGCCACGGCTCAGTGGGCGGGTTTGTGACTCACTGCGGGTGGAACTCGGTGCTCGAGGCCTTGTGCGCGGGTGTGCCGATGCTGGCATGGCCGCTCTACGCGGAGCAGCGGCACAACAGGGTGCTGCTGGTGCAGGAGATGAGGATCGCCCTACCGGTGGACGAATTGGAGGACGGGCGGGTGAGTTCAGACGAGGTGGAGAAGCGAGTCAGAGAGCTGATGGAGAGTGAGGAGGGCAAGACGGTGCGAGAGCGAGCGCTTGCCATGAAAGAAGAAGCTACGGCTGCGCTGAGCCCCGGCGGGTCGTCTTGGTCGGCGTTGGCCGGACTCATTGAGTCATGGAAGCGCGAGTGAAATGCTCCGGATGCTGTTGGTCGCTTGGAGGCGAATTGACGTACGTTACGAACAAAGTGGCATGTGCTTTTTATGTTTTTGTATTATGGAAACGTAAACAGAAGGATGAGCGTGGTTGAGTTTTATCTTGAAGCCTGCTCTCTGATTCTCCCCATGCAAACCAAGATCGTTTCTTTTCTGGGTGAAATAAAATCTCTCTCGAATTGTACTTGCAAAATCGTTCTCTCCTTTTGATTATCTGTCCGCACCGCAATTGAAAATACTAAGCTCCGTGATTTGGCAAATGTCAACGATTACAGAACTTCTGAAGTTATGATAACTCTTGTTATCATCTCACTCAACTTTGAAGTGCAGCTACATTTTAAAACATAGATTACATATCATCCGCCACTATATGAAATGTTCCTTTTCTCTTTCTTTATGGCCATAGACAACCAATAAATTTGGAGGGGAACCCAGACGAAACACTGTTTTGTCGTCCGGTCATAGCAAAATGGCCTTTAGGCCCATTGGGCCATCAGAAATGCGTGGGTCGGTAACTCGGTTTAGTATAGAAGTGGGTTTGGAGGTTTAGATTTTGTAATTGGCTATTCTTTCCTGCATAATTAAAATTGAATTGGATATATATGTGTATATATATATATAAATATATAGCATATAAGGACCCGAGCAGGTCCTTAAATTGCTCAAAGGGAGAGGAAAAGGAACTCCCCGGTATAGTGGAGGGAACCCCGTAAGTTCTCTCCGTATTACTTTTCTCCCACAAAGACAAAGATAAGAAGGGAACTGAGGAGTCTCTTGGGTGGAAAAGGTAGACTCCATGTCAGTTTCGGCTAGTTATCTCCGGGTAGGTAGATATAGTAGTCTCCCGCGTCTAGGGTGACAAGAGGGGAGTTTCGGCTTCTGCAATATATAGAGATATATATTGATATATAAATATAGCATGTCTTTTATATAACTTTTGAAATACTATACAGTACATTCACCGTAAGTTATAGTTCAGGAGATATTGGGATAAGAATCTAGTTCAGTCTAATTTACTTTGGTCTTCTGTTAATTTGGCTCGATTGCATTCCTCTTGGGTCTATCAATTCTTGAGACGGAACAAAAAATCAAAGTGATGAACATTTCAAATCATAGACCCAATTTTAGTGTTGCTAGTTGAGAGCTCGATTCCGTCTTTATGGAGTTGTAGAATCAACAAGGCGAATTCAAGCTTTCTAACATACTAGCCCACGAGCTTGGTTGAAACCTTAGTATAGATTGAATATGCTTCACATTGCTACGTAAACTCGAGTTCGAGGCATTACAGCTTTGGATGTATATAGTCTTTCATTATATAAAATAAAATCAGACTTAAAGCTTCCCCTTGGGATTTCTTATCATGATACACCAGGCTTTTGTCATGAAAGTGGTATAACTTGTCCAAAATTATGAAAGTGGATCATAAATCTAGCTGAAGTAACTAATTAATCCACTTGGAATAAAATTTCTCAAATAAAGAGTGCGGCTTTTCCTATCTCCTCCCTAGAATTTTCTCCTCTCCCTCTTATCTTTACACAACTTTCTTCTTCATCCTCCATAGAGGAGAGGGTTTGAGCTAAATCTCTCCCTTCCCTCCCTTTTTATCTTTTTCTTTAACTAATTTGATTATCTGTTATCTTATTATTGCTTTTTTCACATTTTGCGGAGCTTTCTCTTCTGATCTAATTTAGATTTGGAAGTTTTTTCTCTCTTGTTTAGGAAACGTTTCTATCCCAATCAAGTCTAGGTTTGGAGATTTTTGCGTGTATGATTTCAGGGTTTCCATTCACTCGAGTTTTATTAGTGTACAAGTCCAGTTTCAAATGAGATCAAAGGAGTTTTGTGAAGGTTTTACTCTCACTTTGTCGATGATTGGCCGTCGATTTTAGTTTGAAAAAGTCACAAATTTGCTCTTTGAGCAGGTGACCCATAATCTTGTTCAGATTATTCTTCTTATTATCTGGAGCTTGTCTAGTTTTGAAGTTGTCTAGGATTTGTCTTAGTTTGTAGTTGGACTGAGTTGTTTCTCTTGTATTTCCGTGGAAATGAATGAAATATTACTTTGACAAAAAAAAAATTACCTTGCAATTGATAGTATCGAGATTCTTATAGACCCCTTAATTTTGACTTAAGGCATTTCAAGTTTGACCGACTTGTCATGAGGTCAAACTTTGTTGAAAACGATCAAAAGTGTTTTTTATTAAAAGGAATTATTTTCTTTGTACCAACCACAGATTCCCAAGAACATCTAACTTGTCAAAAAGGGCCAAAACTTGCACGGCACTGAGTGTATAAACAACCAAATATGCAGATCATGTCCAATATTTACACCGAAGCTGCCTTCACGAGCAGCCGGAAGTGTCATTCACGTTTTGTTCATTAGAATATAAATAAATAAAGCAACACTAATCACTCCCAAGACATGGTCATCATTGTAACAGATCGAATTTGTTAATCCCAAACTAAAATCTTAATCATACTGTCAAATAAGAAATATTTGATTGAACGTGGAGTGGAGGTTCTGTTAGCTGCATATTTTTCATGGGTAATCTCGAAAATGTATCACATGTTAATGGTCAAAGTAACATACTAATTATTTCGGCCTTCGTGGCAACAGATGATTGTCACATTACCTTTTTCTTCGGGGTCCACATAAATGCATCGTTCAATGCTTTACTAGGCAGAGATTGGTTACATAAAAAATCAAATAATGTTTTTCTAGAATGATGATAAATTAGAGTTATTAATTCTAATCGACTATAATTTTCAACCAGTTTGATTGATACATGATTTTGGTTGACTAGTCTGATAAAAGTAAAAATTTAAGATTAGGAGTTCCTGATCACAACAAGGTTCGCTTCTTGGCCAATAAGAGTTATTCAATATTTTTTTAAAGTTCTATTGCATTCTATCTGAACTTAGGTATTGTTTTCCTTTAGGTTGACGTTTTAGCCAACCCTTAAAGTCAACCCTCGGTCAATATTTTTGAAAATTTGAAAAAATTTAAAAAAATCATCAATTCTATCTTCTGCAAGCATAATTAGACTTTCAATTTGTAATTTTTACAAAAAACCGTTCGAGAGTGGACTTTTTGGTCAAATCGAGAATTTTGACCCTCGAACGAGAAATTCCAAAATTCACTCATTTTCATTCATATTTTAGTTTTCATTCCTTCTCAACATTTAATCCAAGGATTGTAACACATCGAAATTTCAAGCCAATTTTAAGAGTTTGAACTTGAGACTGGTCGGTCAATTCTTGAGCACAAGTTTAGAGCCCTTATCAGTACTCTATAAATAGCGTTAATTATCCTTGTTCAAACCTTTTTTTTTCGGTCAAAGAGGTAGCTTTCATTACTAAACACGGAAGAAATGCTACAAGGTTCGGAATCAGTACATAATAAAACCCATAATGTGGGGGGGCGCTTAGACAGCCAATTGACGGGAAGTAAATTTTTTCGATGAGCTTTGATAACCCAATCCACAATCAAATTAGCTTCGCGGGGTTTATACTTAACTGAGACTCCGTTAAGTTGTGCCAAACTAGATTTGCAGTCTTCAATAATCGTACGCACTGTCCATGGGCTTTGGACTCGGCCTAATAAGCATTGCCCAGCTGATAAGCTATCCGTAACTACTTCCACGTTCACGCACAGATCAACTGAAGACTTTAGTTTCTGTGTCTCCACCAGCCTCGACAAAATCGCACGGAGGGCTAGGGTTTCGATCACAAGGGCTGAAGAGGCATGGGCATTCATGGCAAAGCCATCGGTGACAATGCCATCGGAGTTCCTGCAAATTCCGGCTACGGATCCCTCAAGTGAGTCAACACACCATGAGCCATCCACAGTGTATTTCAGAACTCCCTTCTCAGGTGGAACCCATCGCTCAGGTAACTCGATATCCTCTTTTCTTTGATTTCTTTCTTCTGGGTTCCATCTTTTGAATAGTTTGTTCTCTGCAATTGCTGATTCTATGTTTTCGCTTGGACTTGGTGGTCGGCCTTGGAAGACCAGCATGTTTCTCTCTTTCCAGATAAACCAAAGGGTCCCGACGAGCAACTCTTTTGATGGTGCGTCATTGCCTTCGGTGAGACTATCTAGTATCCACTTGTCTATTCTAGTTAAATGCTGAGGGGAGGAATCAATATTTAGTTTTGGATCTGACCATATGGCTTTTGTCTAGTCACACAGGATGAAGAGATGCTCTAGGGTTTCCGGCGCTCGATGGCGTATGGGGCACATCAGGTCAGGTGTCATTTTCTTCCAGTGTAGGTTTTCCTTTGTAGGAAGTGCATTGCTACATAAACTCCACATAAAAAACCTGATCTTTGGGTGGGTACGGAGATGCCATATCATGTTCCATAGAGTTTTGGGAGGTTGGTATGATGTGGAGGCCTGGTTTTTGTTGCTATGGATGTTTGATGTATAGATTCTGTTGTATCCACTTTTGACCGAGTAAAGTCCCGATTTATCCCCAGTCCAAATTGGCTTATCAGTCCCCATGATAGGCCTAAGTGGAATAGCAAGAATTTCGTGCACTAGGTTCTCTTCAAAAAAGATTGACAACTTCTATACATCCCATTGCTTATATTCCTGATTAATCAACTCTGCCACAAGCTGATGTTCACCTTGGTTTGCTGGGCCTCCAATTCGTCCTGGTCGGGCCAGGTGGGCTCGATTGGGCTCATCCAATTGGGCCGAACCAGGCTAGCCCACAAGCCCATTTGATCGGCCCTCTCTTCATTCTCTCATAATTACAAAATTTCCACTCATCAAAATTACGAAATTGCCATGCCATGTCATCAATCCAAGTGAGAGCCAACCTTAGCCACTCATGAGTCCTCTAATCTTGGTCATATAAATTACCATGTTACCTATCATTGTCATTAAATTTCAGCCAATAAGAGCATTCCTCAACCATTAAGCATTAAATCAAGACCATGGTTGAGATTAAAGGATTTTTAAAATTTCCCTCCAATTTTTTTGCCTCTATCTCTCTCACCTCTCACTTGAACAAGGACTCTCTCTCTCTCTTCCGCCAATTCCAGCTCATCTTCGACGTCCTCATGCTGACGTATCTTTGCTACCTCCTCCTTCAGTGTGTCCTTGGTGTG